GAGCTGCTGTTCCATCATATCCCATTAGAACAAGTTTTTTTGGATATCTTAATTCTATACAGCAGGTATAAGTACTACCTGCCTACCTACTTGCCATTTATTTATTTATTATTTTTGAAGCATTTGTGATGCATTTTGGGTTTGTGGCTCCTGTGGGTTGTGGTTTTGGTGTTTTGCGCTCTCCCAAGAAGCAGTGCTGCTTCCCAAGGAGCTGATGAGCACTGAGGGACATCAGGCAGGCTTGCTCTAGTCCATGTCTCTCCATCTACCCAGCAAGGCAGTGGGGTGCCAAGTGTGCCTGTACCTGAGCCCTAGGCCCCCAGGCAGTAGCTACCAATGCCGTCAGACCTCCTCTTCACACATAGATCCACTTAGTTAAAAATTTCATGACAGCAGCCCCAGAGAGTTAGGCCTTAAGTACAGAGACCATCTTCCAAGCATGGGACAAGGGCAGCTGCAATGGTCACACACTGTGAAACGGCCCTGCAACCCCATTTCCATAAGTTTGTCAGGCTAATTTACAGCTGACATGCAACTCATGCAAGTGTGATGTTCAAATGGGCAGACTTTGAGGTTTTGACAATGAAACGTTTAACTTTTTTGTGGGAGAAAATGGTGACATGTCAACTTAAATTTTAATATTCTTCTTAGTGTGAATTGGAGAATGTTTTCTGCATTCTTAGAAGAAAGTTTGAATTCCTTGGGTATTAGCAGAATAGCTTGAACACATTCTTTTGGGATGCTTTCATCAAATGTATAGTCCTGAAAATTGAGAGGATTTCAAACTGAAGGTACTTAAATTGATGAATAGCTTTTAAAATGTTTTATTTCCTGATCTCTGTTTAAGGATCTGCATCTTTTTCTTTGCATGTGTAATTAGGATGATTTCAGGCATGTGATATTTTATTCATGAATCTTTCCCTTGGTAGAGTTTAATCTGTTATTGTTCTCATTCAGGGCGGTTCATATCAGACACAATATTTTTATCCGTATAAGTTGTCTTTTTGGTGTTTTGTGGTTTTCCTCACTCTCCTTAATGTACATAAGATTTGCTTTGCCACCTTTTATATCGGTACAGAAGCATGTTGAACCGTTCAGAATTAAAGTGGTTATTGATATAGATGGATGGATGTTTCTGTTCATTAGAATTGATTATTGTTTCCTCCTCTCTTTTTTGATGTGATCTGCTGTGATGCTGACAATGTCCGGATGTCTTGAGGTTCTCAGGGGCACAACTCATGATACTCCTGCCTGTGCTGCCAGTTGCTAAGTGGTTCCATCTTCCCAGGAAGGATCTATCAACAAGTGGCTGCTCAGGCTCCTACAGAGGATGTGCAAGGTGTCTGTGTAAGGTCCTTGTGCCCGGTTACTGGTGGGAACCTTCTGTGAGGTCTCTGTGAAGACTCTTTACAAGGTTTCCACATGAATTTTATGGAGTCTCCCACAGCTTCTGCGTGAGGTCTCCATGGAAGGACTGTATGGGGCAGGCACTGCTCTGTGTGGCCTCTGTATGAAGTGTCTTGGGAGGTCTTCCTGTCAGGGGTCTGCAAGAATTCCCCATGGGAAAACTCTGTGGTAGGTTCAGTGTCAGGGCCTGTGAGGGCACAGGATGTCCCTGAGAGGCCTGTGTGTGAAGGCTCCGTGGAAGGTCTGTGTATGTGTCTCTGCATGGTCTCGCTTGGGGTGGCTTTTTGGGAATCTCTGTGCAGGGTCTCTGAGGGGCAGCATGAGGACTCAGGGCCATGTGAGGGTCCTGTGGGAAGTCTCTGAGGGAGGTTTCAGTGAATAAAACAGTCATGGGGCAGTGAGAAGTCTCTGTGTGCTGTCTCTGTAGGAGAGCTCTCTGGGAGGCCTCCCGATGGCACTAATGGTTTTACTACACCTTAGGGAGACTGACCCATAGGAGGAGAAAGAAAAGTGTTCCCCTCAGTGCGTGCCTAGCCCATCTTCTTAACCAGTTTAGGGTACACTGGCAGGAGCACTGTGGTCTGTGTGCAGCTCCTCTGCATTCCAGAACATTCCTTGTGGTGTCCTAAGAGCCCAGCAACAACCAGGCATAGCCCCCATAATGTCAGGGCCCTCTGCAGTGTAACACCTTCTTCTTGGCTCCCAAGAGACCAGATCACTCTCTGGCTCAGAGCCCAGATCTTCCTCTCATGGATGGGTCAAATCTGCCAATTGATGTAAGAATCCAGGTCCAAGACAGAACCTGGCTCCAGGGAAGCCAAAGGCACTTCCAGCCAGGCTGGGGGTGAGAAGCCAGTCACTCATGTTGGGCAGGGTCCTTTTCCTTGTCTGGATCAGCCTCTACCTCAAGAAGGACATCCCTGGAACTGTGCCTGTGGCTGCCCTGCATGCCACACAGCACAGGAAATGCTCTCTGGAGAAATAGCTGCTCCTCTCCTTGCCTTTTGGGCCTCTCTGCTTTCCCATCAGGACGCTGTCCCAAAGGAAGGGAAACCCATGCAAGAAGCAGAGTGAGAGCAGAGCAGACACTCTTCTTGGATCTTCTCTCCCACAGGACATTTGCACAGGACCCTTGCAGCCTTTTTGTGTGTACACACCTTGTGACTGTCCTGTTCCCAGTGGGGTCTGGAGTAAGGGAAGACTGGGACTCCTGCAAGACTTGCTGTGTGGCCCCAGGGCAGCACCTTCACCCCTCTGTGCCTTTTCACCCACCCCAGAACAGGCCTGAGTCTGTGTACACGCTATGTACAGGGCATGAAAGTTCAAGTTATGTTTCACATTCCTTTGTCTTAGCTTTGCTACCTCTAGAAGTGGAGAATGGGTATAGAGGAGCTATCAAATGTATCAAGAAATTAACCTTCCCTAGTTTACCTTACTGTCTCTCCAGCCTTGCCCTCTGTGTGGCAGCTGAAGGGAGTTTCTTCATGTCTGTAAATGTCACAGGGAACCCAACATCTGGGACCCAGGAATGGTACCAGGATATACGACACCACCCCTACAGTCTCTTGCCTTCCGTGCTGGTGGGTGGCAGAGCAATCCGAGCTGTGCCTCTTTTCCTGTCCCATTCAGTGTCCTCATGCCCTGTGCTTCCTGACTCTAACCTTCTCAGTGCTTCTCCCACATCCCAACCTTGGTCCCCAGAACCTGAATGTAAGTTAATGCACACAATCACTTTCTGCTCCATCCATCCAGACTGCAGCCTGGAATTTCGATGTGAGAGAGACCCAAGTAGGGGGTCCATGAGCAAGGCCATTACTTACATGCGACAGGGGTGGACGTGGCACTCAGCGGCCTCCCTGAGGACCACACTCCCGCACAGGGCTGAATTTTCTGTTCTCACCAGGGCTCTAGAGTGTGAGGAGAGCTGAGGCCCTGGGATGGGATCGCTGGACATTCTATAAGACACCACTGAGTGTGCCTATCTCCACCCTGCCATTTGCTAGGAATACAAGGGCTTCCCAAGCATCATCTGTTCCCCATGAAGAGATGCAAGGGAAAATTTGTCTGGCCTCAGAACTCAGGACTCAGTGTCTGCCTATGCCCACTGCCACCCAATTTAGGACAGGTGTAGCTAGTGGCTCTACCTTTGCTGGAGCCTGTGGGGGCATTTTTAGCCTAAACTATCTCAGGCCCTGGTCCGTACAGCTCCCTTAAGGTAAATGGACACGTGGGACGATGGTTTGAACCTGATCTCGTGGTGGGATCATCCTGTTTCCCTCAGCTGTGAGAGTTTCATTTTGCTCCTGAAATGATGGTATTAGGGAAACTTGAGGATCGGTGGAGGAACTCAGGGCAAGAGTACGTTTGCACCTGTGTGTCACGCTCCACCATACCCCGTCCCCTGTAGAAGCCATAGCTCTCACCAAGCACAAAGCATACAGAAGCCATTACCCTCTTAGGGAAAGAAGCAGGTGTATTGGCAATGGGAATTTTCATGGGTTGGTAATATGAGAAACGTTTTCTGTAAATGAACTTAATTTTTTCTTGGAGATGCCCTTTCCTACTGGGAAAGAATGGAGAGAAATTTTCTGGCTGAGCAGACAGGACACCTCCATAAAGGAGTCGGTGCCTTGGGCAGTTGTGCTGGTGGCCTGAGGCCCTGGGCACTGTTGGCCCTCGCTGTGAACACCGGCCGGTTGGAGAGCACCAGGTGGGGATGCTTATGGCCCTGTTTTTCATTGATGAACTGTCCACTTTTAATGGACTCTTGGTCACTGGGTGCCTCTCCCTGATAGGATAGCTGTGGCATTTGGGGGTGGCTGCACATGCCAGCATTCTCCTGTGCTCTGAGGGTCCAGAAGGCCAGTGGCTGCAGTAAACGTGAGACACTGAGGCTTGATTTTGTTTCTCTTTGTGCTGATTGAACTCCAAGGCACAAAGTTCACGCTTAACTAACTTGTTGGCATCTTGCATCAGTTTAGCATCTCGCATGAGCTTCTGAGTCTCAGCAATTCTGTGGTCCACACTTGAGCTGCTTTTGCCTGGTCTCTGGCTCTGCCCAGAGGAGGATGCAGGTTTGCCTTTTCTCGGGGTTTCCTTGTACTCTTTCATTTTTTTCTGAGGAGAAGTCCATAGTAGAAATGTCCTCATGCTTCTTTGGAATCATCCTTCTGAATGAACTGGTTTCCTATATGAAAGGATCTGAAAGTGCTTCTGCTCAAATGTGTCTTTCATTCCCCTGCCTTGGGTGGCTGTGGAGGTCCCAACGTATTCATGTTTTTCTGGGATGGGTCTCCTACTGGCCTCACCACTATTAGCCAGGGCAGACACATTGCTCCCTCTCTTCTGTGAGTACTGGTGTTTCTGGATCCTGGGCTTGTGCTGCCTCAGGATCCTCTCTCTGTCTGCCTTTAGGTCACCTAACATCTGTGAAGCTCTCCTGTCCCCAAGAGACGTGTTGTGGAGATAGCTGTGGGATGCCACAGAAGACAAATTGACTGTAGCTTTGAGCCCATCAGTGGAAGAGTCTGGAAACTGGGCACCCAGGGCACAGACTTGAGTCTGCTTCACTGACCTCATCTCCCCTCCCTGCTGAAACTCACTCCCGATGCCTGGCTGAAGGCCTGGCTGTCCTCTGTCTTGGAAGACAGGTGTTGCAGGCATCACGGGGACTTCTAGGCTGTGTCTGCTGGTGCCCAGGATGCTTCTTCTCCTAGGCTGTGCCAGTGAGACCGGATGTCAGTCTCTGGGAAGGCTTCCTGCTGCCCTGTCCAGTGGGAAGGTCCTTTAAGGATCTCTGGGCATCACTAGGTGGGATCCCTGTTAGGGCCTTCTCAGTCTCCTTACACACAGGTGAGGAGAACAGGAGTCTGCCCAGTGTAGGGACAGACTCAGTGAGTGTCACCATCTCTATCAGACATGTCTGAGGGGCTTTTTTCCAGGAATGTGGCATCTGTAGGTTCACCTCAAAGCACACCTGTGGAAGGGATGGTGGTGGAGCCTCTTCAACTTGAAAAACTTTGTGGCCTTAGTATTCCTGTTTTTCTGGGATGGGTCTAAAACTGGCCTCACCATTATTAGCCAGGGCAGACACGTGGCTCTCTCTCTTCTGTGAGTACTGATGTTTAGGGATCAGTAAGCCTGAGGGCGAGGCCCAGTCCTTTTCTGGCTCTAACTTCACCTCCTGCACTTCCTTGCTGCAGCCTTGTAACGTGCACCTCCAGGGTCTTCAGAGTACATAGGTTAAGAGAGGGAAGCTTTTGTGACTCCTGAAGATAACTAGAATTTTGCTCTCTGTGTGGGTGGCCTAAGCTCCATGGACAGAAAGCAAGGACCGGTGCAATCTCCAAGGGATCCGACCCTCCTGGACCTGCCTTGACTTCACACCAAAATGCATTTTTAGCATGTCTTCAAGGCGACTCTTGTCATTTCCTACATCACTGTCCATGATGTTTGGCATCTATTTCTCTGACTGTGCAGAATTTGCCCCTGGAAAGTTTACCGAGCGGCTTTCCAAGGCCCTGGAGAGGTCTTTGGGGACCTTACCTAGACTATGGCCCACATTTCCCGTCCCAGTCCTTCTCTGGCTGGAACTTCAAAACCTGCACTTCCTTGCTGCAGCCAACCATAGATACGGGGGAGCATTCTGATGGGCCAGGTTTGCCCTTTGCCTGACATGTATGAACTGCATCACCCTGAGCTGTTTGAGATCTCGAAGTTCTTGGGTCCTGTTGGGGACATCACACTGGCGTTGAATGAACAACGTTTGAATGTGTTGCTCCAGTAGTCTCCAGTGCTCCAGGCTCATGGAATAACCCTTAGGAGGGGTGGCAGAGGGCCGGTGGTTTTGGCAAAGGTTGGGAAGGAAAGGGCTACAAACCTCCTGAGAGCTTCGGACCATTGACTGTGGAGCTCACTCACTCAGGGTCTGTGTTCTTAATAAGGACCCTCCTGGGTGTCGAGTTTCAGCGGGGATGAGATGTTGTGGATTATTATGGGGTGTCGGCCAAGCTGCTCCACAGTCCCTAATGTGGGGTGAACAATGTGGGAGGAAGGGTGGGGGAAAGGATTGGAGATGGGCCTGAGACTGCACCTGACCTAGACGAGGGGGCTGGAGTTTGGCGGTAGAGAGAATCAAGGGAGGGGTTTGGGGGTCCAGAGAGGACAGGGGCTGTGGACACATTTTATCCTGCCCCTGAACTGCGGAAAGATTTTGAGTTTTGTTGAATGAAAATGGGGGAGGCTGTAGAGGAGGATTCTGAGAGATCCAGGCAGCAGCCACCAAGGATTCGCTCTGCAGAGCGGGCAGACCCCAGAAAAACTGGATCCAATTCTGTTGGAACTGGGTCCCCAGAATTTTGAGATCTGAGAATTGGTGGTGACCAAGTTCCAACTCACTTGTGTGTCCCACCAGGGTTGTGGTGTTGTGACGGGATCAGGGGGCAATGGAGCACAGAGGGAAAGTGCAAGTGGCTGGGGTGAAATTCCTTCCAGGGGAAGCGGGGGCTCTGGGGGCTGAGAGGCAGTAAGGGATGTGGGTGAACACACAAGATCCGAGGAGGCTGTGGACCAGCCTGGTGATGGAGCGGCCAGAGGTAGGAGGTGCTCAGTGAGAGGAGAGTGGGAAGCCTCTACCGGGGGGGAAGCGTCCACATTCTCCCTGTGTGGCTGCGGGGCTGTGACAGGTGTTCTTTGGCACACAGCGGTAGAGCCCTGTTGATATAAGAGCTGCTGAGAGCTTCTTTCATCAGGCAGCAGCTTCTGGAAGCTGTCAAAAATAGGAGGCATAGCTGCAGCCATGGGCACGGATCAGCCCATGTGTACCATGGCCCCTCCCCTGCACCGCACCCCAACCTCACGGTCCTCTGCTGCCCCTCATCTCAGGTCCTTAACATCCCCCACTCCCAGGACCTCTCCCTCCTACGTTGGCCCAGTGGTGCTTGGTTACAGCATAGGCTTTAGGAGGAAGGAGGAAAGGGGAAAGTGCTGTACCTTTCCAGAAGGGAAGTTAGGGTCTTATCCAGCTTATGGTACATCCGGCAATCTGCAAATGGTAGCAGGTGGGAAATTGAAGTATAAAGTATAACAGGTAAGGAGTGGATTGAGATTTTATAGGAGACTGAAGGGAATATCCCTTTAGAGGTCACCATGGGAGATTTGACTCCAGAACCCAAGTATCACTGTCCAGCGTCCTCCGGCCCTGGCTGAGACTGGTGACGTGGTACACAGATGGGTGGCACTTTGTCAGTGCAAAGTGCTTCCACATCCTTCAGTGTCCATGGTCCTCACAACTGTGCTGTCCTGAATGGATGGGGTCATCTCCCAAAAGAATTAGCCTCAGCCAGTTGTAACAGCTGGGCCTCAGTCGGACCTGGAGGACCTACCTCCTAGTCCAAGCTGCACGGCTCTACAGCTGTCTGCACTGACCCAATGGGCAATGCCTTCCCTTGGCCCAGCACAGGTTCATTATGAGAAGGAGCCTGACAAGCATCTCCCCTGCTGATTGCCTTCCCAGGAGCCCCTCTCTAGGGCTCTGCAGCTCGCATTCATGTTCCCTGGGGGACAGGCAAATTAGTGTCTGGGACAGCAGGACCGAAAGGCAGAGCCCAACCTCTGAGCGTGCCAGTCCTTTTTCTCTCTTGCTCTTCCACCTCTTCTGCGCTGGACGCTGAGAAGGAAGGAAAACAGTGAGAGGCCCAGGCCCAATTCTCCTCTCTCTCAGACAGGCTGTGGACCATCAGTATTCATGAGTATCAGGAGACTTGACATTGAATTAATGCAGCCTGTGTTTTTTCTTTTCTTTGATTCCTATTTGAAATGAATATGACAATATTTTTTGTTGTCCTCTTCCCAGAAACACACAGAGGATTCCTCTGTGAGAATTACCATGGGTACGTTCTGTCTTTTCCTCAGGACTCTTGGACTCATTTCTAGAGCAGCCTTGCTAACCTCAGGCAGGACTCTGGGTCTGAGGCAGCTCCAGCCTGTGACAGGAGGTGAGAGCTCAGAGCCCTCAGATCTGCCCAGCTCAGAGCAAAGGCTGGGCCCAGAGGCTCCTGACAGAGGAAGGGGGTGATGAACCAGTGCTCAGGGCCTGCCCCTCCCCCAAGGCGCCCATGTCTCACGCATCCAGTCATCCTCCACTCAGTCACTGTGTTCTCTTTTGCTCTTCCCAGCAAACCACACACATGGTCTTAGAGCATCAAATAGACGTCGTGCTGCTTCTTTCTTTGTGCCCCTGGCCAGCTGTCCCAGAGGAGTGTTTTATTCTTTCATGAGATTTTCCCTCTCAGCTTTCTCTTTACTTGATTTGGAAAAGCGGAATCTGGTAAAATGGGAGAGAATCATTCTCTGCTGGGTCTGAGCTGTGGGTTTCTTACCTTCCTGATATTTCTACTTCTCCTGGGTGGTGGTAAGGATGGTTCACCCTGGAGCCAGGGCAGTAACAGAAAGAAGAGCCCCAGTCCACACACAATGGCAAGGATCATATCCATCACAAAGGTAGTGCAGCTGGGGCTCAGCCATGTGGCACTAAGGCTTTTCAGAGGAATGAGAAAATTCTCCATCTTCTAATCGCAGTGTTGCTGTCAGGCAACTGAGTCCTGAGAGTTCTCTCTAGGAATACAGGGAGGTCCCATGCCTGCATCACAGAGCTGTGGCCTCTTCATCACAAAGGGCTCCTGGAATGGAGGAGAGGCAAAGAGAAGAGGCTCCACCACCGCCTCCCCCACTCTCCAGGATGGTGGACGCCTCACCTTCCTGGGGCTTCTCGATCCCTCTTCTGCCTCCCCCTGCCCAGCCATTCAGAGACAGACCTTTCTTCAGTCCATCTGCCATTCACTAATTCTGGAACTCAGATTACTTGTTTCTTTGCTGGAGGTCTAGTGATCTTTGAGCCCCTAAAAGTGTGATTTTTACCCTGTCATTTCACTGTTGTCAGGGATTCATAAGCTCAGGAGCTTTGTTATCTTCAATGCCAGATTTTCATTTAATGTCTATTACATCAATGCAGTGACAGAATTTAAATTTCTTACATACTTGTTTTTGAATTTTGGTTTTTTTTTTGTTTTTTTTTTTGTTTGTTTGTTTGTTTTTGTTTTTCTCTGGTACCAGGAACTGAACTCACGACCTTGCGCTTGCCAGGCAGGCGCTTTTGCCGCTGAGCTAAATCCCCAGCCCTTGAATTTTGAATACTGTTCTTAGAGCAGAACTTGGAGACAAACTTAGCCTTTCTCTCCCTCTACAAAATCTTCCCAGCTCCAGGAAAGCAACTCCTCCAACAACCCCTCCCTCAGCAATGCAGACTTGTGCCTTTTCAATGTGGTCCTGGCTTTTCTCACTGATAAGGGAGACACTTCAGTTCTCTAGTAGGAATGCCTCCCTTTAGAGGGACAATAGTGTGGATCATCACCAATATACCTAACAAATGGAGTTTCAGACAAGCTTCACAGCTGCCCGAGAGGCACAGAATGTGTTTTCTCTTCAAGGCTAAGATAAGGTTAGCTGCTAGGATGATTCACTTCCCTTGTTTCACTTCTGTACCTCTCTACTTGCTTGACACCACAAATTGGAGGAAAGGGGACCTCTCCTTGTTGCCTGGCTCAGCTTGCTTTTTGTCAGGCTAAACCCCAAGGAGAGACTGAGACCACTAGGACGTGCAGGATTAAAAGAAACAGGGATACCTTTCTTTCAGACTGGGTGCAGCCTGGCCAAGGACACAAACGATTACAGTAGCATTTTTCTGGCTTACAGAGTGGCATTCTACAGACTTACAGGGTTTCCTGTAAGCCTGAGAACTGGCCTTGGAACCAAGCTGATAAACAGAGTTATTTGAGTCTCTCAGGCTAAGTGAGGGGCTTTCCTGTTTGGACAAACTGATCTGTCAGAGTTTTTCTCTTCAAGTTGGGTGGGGTTCAGTGGAAGGACCGAGCAGTTTTGAGCATTTCTAGATGGAGCACCATTAAAGAATCCTCCTGAAAATTCATCTCTCCAGTTTCTTGGAAACTCTACAACATCCTGCTTTAAACTTTTATTCCCTATCAAGCGGCCCTCAATAGATAAAGTTAATCATTCAAAATGCATAATTGTAAATATGAAATTATTATCAGAACCTGAATTCCCAGAGACATTTTTATGTGATTAGCATGTGTATTCTGTATTTAATAAAGCTTAAACTGCTCAAAGACTTGGTATGACTATACACATACACAGACAGACATACACATCGCACATTCTTTCACAAATCAGTGTTTTCAAACCCAGTAATAATCTTTTGCTCATAGGTTGTCCAGGACAAGACCATAAAATCTATAGTAAGATAGATTTGCCACCCTATTAGGATGGCTATTATAAAAAGAAAATAGCAAGTATTTTCAGGGATATGGAGAAAAGAGAATGCTTATGTACTGTGTTAGGGATGTGAACTAGGATAGCCCTTATAAAGAGCATTGTATAAAATTCCCAAAGATGAAAAATAGATCTACCATATGATCCAGCTATATATGCCACTTCTGGGTACGTGTCATCCATAGGAATATTTGCATGCCCATGTCTATTGTGCCAGTAGTCAGAACACCTAGGGTTTCACATCAGAATAGGTGTCCATCCATGAATGAATGAAGAAATATGGTATATACACACAAAAGAGTCCTGTTCAGCCATAAACATAGAATGAGACCTTGACATTAACCACAGTGTATAACTGGAGGTCATTGTGTTAAGTGAGATATGCCAGGAGCAGAGCACAAAAAACTGCATGTTCTCTCCCACATGTGGAAATTAAAGAAGAAAACAACCTGGATGTAGGATGCTGATTGCGAGAGCTCGAGAGGTCAGGAGGGTGGATTGAAGGGGCCTGGACCAGATCAGTTCCTGCTGTAGCATATATGAAATACTACATTGAACCCCCTTAATATTTACACTTAACCCATGTGATAACGAAAACTAATCATTCTTCTAGTTTTTTTGATTCTTATCAGAGTGATGGTGGCCTCATAAAATAAGTTTGAAAGTCCTCTTCTTCCATTTTCAGAAAACTACATGAAGAATATTAATTCTGTTTTAAGTGTTTGGTAGAATCCCCCATAATAACCATCTGCTCTTGGACTATTCTTTATTGGGAAGAATCTGATTACTGATTCAAGCCTGTGATTCATTATTCATCTGCTGAGATTTTACTTTCTACATGTTTCAGTCTTGGACAGTGTGTATTTCTAGAAGCTCTCCCATTTCTTCTAGGCTATCAAATTTGTTGGTATTTAATTGTTCATAGTAGATTGTATTGATTCTTGTATGTCTATGGTGTTGATTATTAGGCCTATATCATTTTTGATTTTATGTAGTTGAGTGTTCTCTCTTTTTTAGCTTAGCTAAAAGTTTGTCAATTTTGAGTATTTTTAACAAAGCAAGTTTTTTTATCCTTTTTGTTGTTTTGTAGTCTGTAGATTGTTTCTTTGTGCTCTACTCTTTTCTGTTTTCCTTCTGATTTTTTTGGGTTCAGTTTAGTCTTTTTGTTTCTTTGAGATGTAAAGTTCGATGGTTTGTTTGGAACTTTTCATCATACAGCCATTGATTTATGTAAACTCCCTCATAGAATTGCTTAGTGCATCCCATAAGTTCACGATTTTGGTTCCCATTTTGGAAATAGCCTGTGTATTCTGAGGAAGAATTGCTGTTATGCTGAGTTTTTTAATGGTGTACATGGATGCTAGCCCCTTTTGATCTGTAGCATTCTTCAACTGTACTATTTCAATATTGATTTTCTGTGTTGATGGTCTATCCATTATTGAAAGTCTGACACTGAAGTCTCCTACTATTATTATGTTGCTGTTTCTCCTGTCAGATCTCTTTATATTTGCTTTCTATCTATTTAGGTATCCAAGGCTGGATGCATATTCATACACTTTTGCAATCATTATATCCTGTTATGAATTTGCCGTTGTGTCATTATGTAATGAGCACCTGTTTTCACTTGTTCTGGTGTCTGTTTTGAAATCCATTCTTGGAGATATGCAAATAGATATTCTTTTTCTGTTTTTGGATCTATCTCTTCATTTTTACTGTATGTGTGTCTTTAAATATTAACTGAGGTTTTGTAAACAGCATATGCTATTCATCGTTTATCCATTCAGCAACTGTGTCATTTGATTGATTCATTCATTGATTCCATTAACATTTAAAGTAATTGCTAAAAGGTCAAAATTTTGTGTTGCCTTTTTGTCATTTTCTAGTTGTTTTGTCATTCCTTCCTTCTTTTATTCCTCTCTTTCTGCCTTCCTTTGTGACTTTATGACTTTCTACAGTAGTATATTTTGTTTCTTGGATGTATTTTTTGTGTTTGTATTTCATTTTTGTCATTATGGTAAGACATATAAAATGAGTTACAAAAGTCTGTTTTAAGTGGATAACGACTAACCTTCGTTTCTGTAGAAAAACTTTTGCAATTCTGAGGCTGCCAAGGAGGGAGTCCTGCTGCTTCTTACATAGAATCCTCTTCCACTTATTCCTTCCATTTTCTTTTCACTTTGTGCTCTACCATGCTCAATATTCAGTGCCCAAATTGGCAGTCATCTCCCACCAATCGCTAGGTTTAAATGCAGTATAGCAAGAGCATCACATTCCATTGCCAATCTCACCCGAATGAACAAGAGACTGAAAAATTGTTTTCAAATCATTCCTTGTGATATGAGTTTCTACACTGTTATGTAAGCTGAGTTCCTTCAGGATTTTTCAAATTTATTATTCATTACAGTTTTTTCTCTGGTGTACATTCTGTTGAGGTGTATTCTGAGACCTACCTTTTGTTCAAAAGTTTTCTCACACTTATCACTCTCATAGAGCTTCTCCTCTGTTTGGGTTTGGGCTCTAAAATGTGATGTCTTAGAGGACATTTTCCCACATTCATTGCATTCATTGGGGTTTCTCTCTGGTTTGAATTCTGTTCTGTGCCCTGAGAGTTGATTCAACAGTAAATGTTTTCCTACTTTCATTACATTCACATGGTTTTTCTCTTGTGTGAATTCTCTGATGTGCACAGAGTTCTGTTCTTTGAGAAGTTTTCCACATTCATCACATTCATAAGACTTCTCCCTTGTGTGAGTTCTTTGATGCACTATGAGAGTTATAAACAAAAGTGTCCCCACATGTGTTGCATTTACAGGGCTTTTCTCCTATGTGAATTCTTTGATTTAACAAGAGGATTGCCCTACTAGCACAAGTTTTCCCACATTTGTGACATTCATAGGGTCTCTCCCCTGTGTGCAGTCTCCAGTGTACTGTGAAAGCTGAACTTTGGGCAAAAGATTTCCCACATTCATCACATTCATCAGGTTGCTCCCCAGTGTGACTTCTCTGATGTTTCCTAAGATATTATTTCTGGAAGAAAGTTTTCCCACATTCACTATATTTGTAAAATTTAATACCTTTATGAATTTTCTGATGTTACCAAGGACTAAATTAAAAGCAAATTATTTCCAACATATAATATACATTCATAGGGTTTCTCTCCTGTGTGAGCTCTCTGATGTGCATTAACATATGATCTGCTACAAAAGTTTTCCCACATGAGCTATACTCCTAGG